CCAAAGTTGTATTTCCAGGTCTACTATCATTGAGGACCTCTTAAAAACAAACAAAAAAGCTGGGCGCGGCGGCCTATGCCAATAACCTCAGCACACCGGGAGGCTGAGGCTGGAGGATTGCTTGAGTCCGAGTATCGAGACCAGCTTAGGCAACACAGGGAGACCTGGCCTCTGCCAAAATTAAAAGTAAAATTAAAAAATTAGGTGGATGTGGTGGCGGGAGCCTGTAGTCCCAGCTACTTGGGAGACTGAGGAGGATCGCCTGAGCCCAGGAGGTGGAGGCTGCAGCGAGCTGAGATCGTGCCACCGCACTCCAGCCTGGGCGACACAGCGCGACCCCGACTCAAAATAATAAAATGTAAAATGCCGGGTGCAGTGGCTTGCGCCGGTAACCCCAGCATTTCGGAACGCCAAGACGGGAGGACCGCTTGAGGCCGGGGCTTCAAGACCAGCCTGGGCAAGAGCGGGGCGACGTCCCTATCAATTAAAAAAGGCTATTTGAGACGTCCATCGTGGGATGGAGAGGGGGGCCCAGGCGAACTTGGCGGCGCATTATGACCCTCACCACGGAAAAGCTCGGCCCCGGGACCGGGACCCGCCCCGCGAAGCCCCAAGAGGGCCCACGCCGCGGGGGATGCTGGGAGAGGACGTGACGGCGGCGCAAGGCATGCTGGGCCCCGCGCGTTTCTCCCCGAGCAGCATGGCCGCCGGTACGCGGGCGCCGCGCGTTTGCGAGCGGGTGTTGTCCCCGTCTGCCGGGACCGGCCGTGGAGCGCCGCGGGGCCGGAGCGCGCCTTAGGTGTCGTGTGGCCTCCTGAGTCAGTTGTCGCGGTCGGGGTCCCCCCGGCGGCGGCAGTCCAGGAGCGAGCCGCGGGCGAGCGCAGGGGGCCCCGGCTTCGGGCTAGGTGAAGTCGGCGGGGCGACCCCGCGGAGCTGGGAGGGCGGAGCAGGGGAGTCGGGCGGCAGCCGCAGGCCCGGGATCCGGGTGGGACTGGAAGGGACCGATGCGCGCGGTCGTCCCAGCTGCCCGCGGCCGCTCGGGGTCCCCGTAGCTTCGCACCGAATGTACATATGAACTGTATTCCTTCTGATTTAGCACTGTATTTATTTACTTATTAGATTTAAAATATTTTTTTTTTTTTTTTTTTTTTTGAGTTGGAGTCTCACTCTGTCGCCCAGACTGGAGTGCAGTAGCCGCTCCCGGCCACCGCAGCCTCGACCTGTTGGGCTCTGGCGATCCTTCCGCCTCAGCCTTCCAAGTAGCTGGAACTACAGGCGCGCGCTACCACACCGGCTAATTTTTTATTTATTGTAGAGAGGAGGTCTCGCTGCCCAGGCGGGTCTCGAACCTGCGGGCTCAGGCAATCCACTCACCTCAGCCTCCCAAAGCACTGGGATTACAGGCTGAGCCACCGAGCCCGGCTAAAATATTTTTTTTTTAGTTGGAGTCTCATTCCGTTGCCCAGGCTGGAGTGCAGTGGCACACTCACGGCCACCGCAGCCTCCACCTGCTGGGCTCAGGCCATCCCTCCGCCTCAGCCTTTCAAGTAGCTGGAACCACAGGCGCGTGCCACCACACCCAGCTAATTTTTTAGTTGATTGGGAGGTGAGGTCTCACCATATTGCCCAGGCTGATCTCAAACCCGTGGGCTCGGGCAATCCTCTCGCCTCCGCCTCCCAAAGTGCTGGGATGACAGGCGTGAGCCACTGTGCTCAGCTTTGGTTTTGTTTTGAGGTAGGGTCTCACTCTTCATCCAGGCTGGAGTGCAGTGGCAGGATCATGGCTCACCACAGCCTCAGCCTTTTAGGCTCAGGTGATCCTTCTACCTCAGCCTCACAAGTTGCTGGGACTACAGGCATGCACTACCATGCCCAGCTAATTATTTTTTGTAGAGACTAGGTCTCCCTATGTTGCCGAGGCTGGTCTTGAATCCCTGGGCTCAGGCCATCCTCTCACCTCCACCTCCCAAAGTGCTGGGATGACAGGCATGAGCCACCACACTCGGCTAGGGACTCAGTCTTACCCTGCCTCTCACCCACAGAAGAGAATACATGAGGCCTGTGTCCTTCGGAAGGATCTGTGTGCTCCTGATGCCAAAGGAGAGCCCTGATGGTGCAGCCTCCCTCCCAGCCCTCCAGGTCTTCCAGGGAGACCAAAAAACATAGGGGAGGAACCACACCCAGGGCTGGACTTGGAAAACAGTTGTGGTTGGAGAAAATACCAAGAAGCTGTTTTCCAGTTCCTTTGGCCTACCCCAGGTTAGATGGTGGGTTTCATGCGATTCTGTTCAAATGTGTCAGGGAATTGGCTTGGTACCCTTGGTTAAAAGAGGTTGGGAAGGATGGATTCTAAACCCTGCCATAAATTGAAGAACAAATCGCCGTTCCAGGTGCTGAGAATGTCACTGAGATCAGTGTGGTAAGAGGAGGCTAGCTGGCCCCAGCTGGTACAGGCTGAAAAGAGGCCATTTTGGTTGCATTAGAATAGTCATTTAGAAAAGACTTAAAAACTCCTTTTAGTGGCTGAGTTGGGCTAAACATAAAAACCGCTTGGATTCAAAAGTGGACATTTTTCCAATCCCCTCCCCCCACCAGCCCTTCTCTCCTAGCATGACCTTGCCCGACTGACCAGTTTTATCTAGTAGCTGTTGCTGGTGCTGAAGAAAAAACATCCATGTAAGCCAGACCCCCTAATGATTAGGAGAGTGGGCCAAGGTCAGCAAAATGTGTCTGAAAGCCTGGAGTGGGCATTGCCCAGCATCCCCCCCATCCGTGACGACAAGGACATCGGACTGTCATAGGCCAGGGCCCTGGGAATAAAGGATTGTTGCAGTTATATTTTAAAACAATTTATAGGTATCATCTTCAATGTTATGATTTTCCCTTCCTTTCAAATATTGCCATCGTCTGCCCCGTTCTCTAAAAAACTAACTGTAAAGGAACATGTTGTAAATTCCAAAATGTTAACTAAAATGTCAATGTGACAGGGAGACTTTGTGGCGCGGCAGTGGTCACATAAAAACTGTCAGTGTAAATCTTGAGTCCTCAAACTCAGGGTGAGTGAAGGGCTATGAGTTTTGAGTAGAAATACTAGAATGAACTTGTATTGCTTGGAGCGGGTTTTTTGGCAATGATGCTAACCTGTCTTCCTATAACCTGGTTATAGAAACTAAACTCTCCCTTTTCTCCCAGTCTCTGCCTCTTGTATTTTAATTGGCCACGAGGGATAGCAGCCAATTGATTGGCCGGGCAGTAACACGGCCACAACTCTGAAGAGACTGGTGGCATGGGACAGCAACGACCCCTTGCGTTTGCTGAATGTAACTCTCTAACTCCTGTTTGAAAAGTCCTGGTGATACTATCCATTATGTCTCCCCCACCCATAGGCATTTGTTTATCCAAAAGGAGAATACTGGACACTTTCTCTACACAAGGCACTTGGGTTATGAGTAAAAAGGATGGTAAAATACCCCCAGAAACTCCCAAGGTTGACTCTTGGATCTGACAGTGTCTCCCCGTTTCTCTACCAGGGAGTGAGTCCTGGGATCCTAGTTTTGTCCCTTTGAAACTCAGATTTAGCTCTATAGTGACCGAGTAATCTCCCCACCTCACAGGTGTGTGCTGAGAACTCGGTGACTCTGGGAAAGTGCTCTGGCAACTCTAATGCACTGTACAAACATAATGTGGTCATAATTTGAGGTTAGTTTTTCCTGGCTGCAGTAACTGCCTTCTAGGCCCTTGAGTCTAAACTAAAACAAAGACTTTGACTTAAGAAAAGCATTTTCAGCTGGGCTCGGTGGCTCAGCCTGTAATCCCGCGCCTTTGGGAGGCTGGGGATCAAGACCCGCCTGGGCAGCGAGACCTCATCTCTACAATAAAATCAAAAAATTAGCATGCGCCTGTAATTCTGGCTACTTGGAAGGCTGAGGCGGAAGGATCACCGGAGCCC